GTGTTTTTGAAATAAATGTAGCGAATAAAAGAAGATGGAGAAACTGCAGAGAGCGGGGAATGACGTGTGTGGCCTCCGAATGGCAAACGATGCGCAGGTCTGGGATCGTGACCAGGAGAAGAAATGTTTTACTGATGTTAAGAAACAACACGACCAAAGATTCTCAGTGCACTTTATACAAGACACAACAGACTCCTCTCAGACGGCCTTCAGAAAACCAAAATATGAAGTGGAAACTCATCGGCCTAATGGCAAGTTCAGCCTCAGAAATAAGTTGCTTCAAAAGTGTCATCAAAGATCCATGACGTCACTGTTGGTAAACCTGCAGGATGCGTATTTGTTGCATTGGATTAAACTTCAGTCTGTTTGTTTCCTCTGGTGCTGCGGCAGGTTCTGAGAGGAGCTGTTGTGTTTTTGTCTTGGTTTAGTGAAATCTTTCAAGTCCTTCAAATATCGACCAATTTAAGAGAATAGAGTCTGGGAATCTGAGAGTTTGTTAAAACGAGACAAGAATGTGTACCCATGTGCATTATCCAAATTAAGAGCGTGTGTTTGTGTGTGCGCGCGTGTGTTTGTGTGCGTGCGCGCGTGTGTGTTATGATTTTGATGTTTCCCTTCCTGTCTTAAGAAGCACTTTGGTTTGTCTCATACATATTCACTTCTGCTTGAAACACATCCTTCTGTTCCAGTCTGTTCATAGCACGAAGGTAAAGACAATAATACAAATAAATACATAAAGTTTGGACACCCCTGATCTGGGGTCTAGGATCCAGGAACTATTTATTTATTTTCACTAGAGGATGGGGTTTTGTTTACTTTGCTTCATTCGTTATTAAGCTAAAAAGAGATGTTCATGTTATTTTTTCTTCTTTCTTAATATTCACGTGCTATATCTTGTGCTGTGTGCTCCTCATTCCTACTATAACCGGTGATGCAACACTGACATTTCCTCACTGTGGGACCAGTAAAGAATCATCTTAATCTCAATCTTAATCTTGAGTCAATGACGGTCACAGGTTGAAGTTGTGCGTAATATCCAGAAGAGAATAACGAGGTGCGCATTAACCCCGTGATCCATGGAGGAGGGTGGGCTGTTCTCACCGAGTAGGGGCTTTACAGCAAATACACACACATACATACAAACCTAGAAACTCACACATACATACACACATACATGCTCACACACACGTATATACGCGCACGCATACACACACACACACACACACACACACACACGACACGCTATGGCTGCATCTGCTTTGAGACCAGGACTAAACAACAAACATCTTTTCTTGTAGATTTTTTTTTTACTTGTGACGTAACACAATTGGTCTAAAGCCTTTAGAGACACATTAGGTTCTATGATCTCTGTGTATAGTTTTATGGAATAGAGCCAAGAAGGCGATAAAACTTCTACTACTCTCAAAATACCACTAGAGATAAGACTCAGATCGGAAATGGAAACCCTGGCATAGACTTGTGGTGTGGAAGGAATAAGATCCATGTCCTCCATCCTTAAGACAACAAGCATATTTATTTGCTTGTTTGTTGTAACTAAAAAGGAAAACAAATGTCTCTCTCTCTCTCTCTCTCTCTCTCTTCTGGTCTCTTTCTGGTTTATCTTTCTGGTCTTTCTCTCTGGTCTCTCTCTGGCATCTCTCTCTGGTCTCGCTTATCTCACGTCTCTTTCTGATCTCTCTCTCTGGTCCCTCTCTCTCTCTGGTCTCTCTCGTGGTCTCTTCGTGCATGGTCTCTCTCTCTGATCTCTCTGGTATCTTTCTTTCTTTCTTTATTGTTTATTGAAACAGGGACAGTGTACAATACCATTAGTCTTTACAAAAGAAGTCTATCTCTGTCTGTTCTCTCTTTCCAGTCTCATTGTCTCCCAGTCTCTCTCTGGGTCTGAGTGTAGCACAGTCTCTCATAGATCACTGTTCTAATGTTATTTATCTTTTGAAGAAACGCAAACGAGGGAAAAAAAACATTTTGACACAAAATGAAAAAGGTTCAGTTCAGCTCTAATTCACCTTTGTTCACCTGTATGTATGTGTTTGGTGAAAGTAGTGGTCCCTCTGTTCTCACAGTATCTCTCTCTGGTCCCTGCGACTATAGGTCTCTCCCTCCAGTCACTCTCGGCTTCTCTCTGGCTTCTCTCTCTCTCTCTCTCTCTCTCTGGTCTCCCACACACACACACACACACGCCCGCACTCACGCACACACACACACACACACACACACACACACACACACATACAAAAGCAGTCAATTTGACGGCGGATGTGCACATCTTTCTGCCATTACTTTGTATGATAATAATAATAATAATAATAATAATATATTATTATATAATTCCATTGATTTGAATGAAAAACGTAGTGTTAAAAATGACCTCTTTGTTCATGTTTCTGTCACAGGTGTCTCTTCAGAAAACAACACTGACAATAATAACAATATCAATGTCTTCTGTCAATCTGCTTTTCTTCCTGAGCCGGGCCCTTTGTCGCTTAGTAACCAGCAATTTACACACAGTAACGATCTGGATCTATACATTTAGATGGAGGGGGGAGACCATGAAGGAGAGAGAGAGACGGAGAGGAGAGAGAAAGGGAGAGAGAGAGGAAGAGAGAGACAGAGAGAGACGGGGGTGAGAAAGAGAGAGAGAGAGAGAGAAAGAGAGAGAGAGAGAGACGGGGGTGAGAGAGAGAGAGAGAGAGGGGAGAGAGAGAGGGAGTGCGAGAGGAAGAGAGAGACGAAGAGAGAGAGAGAGAAAAAAAAGACAGAGGGGAGAGAGAGGGAGATATAGGGGCGTGAGAGAGAGAAATACGGAGGGGAGGGAGAGAGAGGGAGAGGCCAAACCGGTGACATGGAGCCGCTTGTTGGCGCGCGCTGTCACGGTTGATCGATTACAGATAGATCAAATATAAGCATGCACAAATGTTTGGTCGTCGATAAGAGTGTTTTGAAGTCCGCGTCGCTTTTGTGACTAAACGACCGCGGAGGCAAATATTGACTATAAAGGTCTGGGCGCGCGCAGGAGAGAGAGGAGTGAGGAATGAGGCGTAATGTCACGTTCTTCATGTTATGTACTTTTGATGTTGTTTTTGTTTGTTGCATTGAGTTTTAATTTGTAGCACTTTGAGATTTCTACAGGTGTATATAAATAAAATGCGTTATCATTATTTTTTATTATTATTATTATTATTATTATTATTATTATTATTAATATTAGTATTCAAAGAAGTGGTCAGAGACGTGGTATTACGCGCGCGTTCATTTAAAAATACAGATCAAGTTATTTAGTTTTATTGTTTTTACTTACTTCAAGTAATGAGTTAATCTGAATGAGTCAATTTATCTGAATACAACTAAATAAAATGCAATTCATACATTTCGCAAAATCCAATGTCTCTGTTTTGTGAGATCAAAGAAAATATGTGTTTTGTTTCACGTTTTAATAGATTTTCTTGTATTGTTTTCTTGTACAAAAAAATATGAATTCAAACAAAAAAAGAATTAACTAAAAATAAATTAATCTTCAAAAAGTATTTTTCCTTTAGCTACAATCTGTGACATGTTTGTTTCTGGCAGAACATGCTTGAGAGGATTTCAGGAGGAGGCGGGAATCTTATGTCTTGCGTCTTGTGTGTCACTAAAATAGATTTAAAATAGACAACGGGGTGAAGGTGAAATTGTAGCTTTTCAAATAATGTTTTTTTTGGCAGATTAACTATTCACATAAATCTTGACTTGAAGTGGGAGAAAATGCAGAACAGAGATTGTCTTGCCCGACTAATTGCATTTATACTCTGAGAAAAATAAGTTAATTAGATCGGAAAATATTCGCTATTCTGAGATATTTTAATTCACAGAGAAACAGAAGATAAACGGTTCTATTATGAGCATTTTCTAATTAGATTTTTCGAATTGTTAAACGTCATTTTTGTGGCGAATACGTAACTTTCTGGAGGTGGATAATTTACATGTGCTTCTCTAAAGTGGTGGGAACACGTGTGTGTAAACTGGGCTTACGTAAACTGGGGTAATAATTGAATATTGTTGAACATTTCTTTTTTTTTTTCTTTATAGTGACGCACAGTTCATTTGAGGTTCTGTTTGTGCGTCGTGTCGTCAAATGCAATTTAACTTCCCAAATTTAGAATTTTAAAAATTAAAAGGAACAAAAACATTTACAGATATTGGTTACTTTTTCATAATGTTTAATAATTATTTCTATATTTACTTATAGAATGTAGTAAGCATTTAGTGTTGCGTGTGTGTGTATTTCTTTACTCTACTGTATATATATGCGCGCTGCAACACTGACATTTCAACGACACAGTGGGACAAATAATGGATCTCTACCTTGTCTCTGATAGGCCTAAACACAATGGTTAAAGTTTTATGTAGTGCTACGGCATTTGACATTACCATGGGTTTTGCCATTTTTTGACGCTTAACGGTGACGTTGTAAATCAACAAACAGTTTGGAGATAAAAGTAGAAAATAAATGATTGTTGCTGAGATCGCGACATACAGACAAAGGCGGTCCCGTCTCGTTCCCATAATTTATTAATAGGACTGTGTTTTTAGTCAAATGTCTATATAAGTTACAAAGAAATCCATACAAATACAATCGAAACGACAGAAGATCAGACAAAAGTGCGCGAGCCTGCAGCGTCCATAATATTAATACCAACTCGCTGTACACAGACTGCGACAGAAATATATATATACACCTATAAGACCTACACACGTTCAAATCTATAGAAATCACAGTTTGGGGTCTGTCTGCAGTCCACCCAGAACACAGCAGTCTTTATAATTTACACATAAATAATCCGCGTCCATGTACGTTGTTTTAAAATCCATTTTTGCAGCGTGCGTCATAAAAATCCATTCAAAGCGTTCGATGCGTCCTTTTATTATTATAGTTCATTCATGGCGCGCGTAATGGCCGCCTTCTCGCGGTGGCGTCTCTCGTTCTCCCTGTGGCTTGTCAGTCACCACGTTCGGCCGTATAGCAGCGCATACTCCGCTCCGGGCGAGTTCAGATGCGACAACCCGGAGACAGGCGGACTAGACCCGGCCAAGTCTGGGGAGTGGCCCGTGCTGGAGATCTGGCCCTGGTGCTGTACCAACGCGTTAGACATGACCATAACCGCGCTCTGCTGCTGCTGCTGCTGTTGTTGCTGCTGTTGCTGCTGCTGCTGCTGCTGGGGTTGGGGCTGGAGGTGGCTGGTGTGGTGGTTGTTGTGGTTGTGGTGGTGTGAAGCGGCCGTGGGAGTGTTGGCGCTGCCCTGACACGGCTTGCCGTCTTTAACGAGCACAGGGACCGCCACTCTGCGCGGGGACTGCTGCTGGGAGCTCTGGTTGTGTTGCGCGCAGGACCCGGAGGAATCCTGCTGCAGCTGCTGTTGTGAGGCCTTGTCCTTGGCCTGGCGCTTCATCTTGTAGCGGTGATTTTGGAACCAGATTTTCACCTGCAAAGACACAAAACAATATTTAAATCAATACATCTGTATTTGATTTTCTACGCAGGGTACACATAAGTTCTGCAGCCTCTTTCACATCGGGGATGGATCATAAACCTTCAAAACAAACATCAATAATAGAACTAAAGCAGTCACATTGACGGCTTAAGTGTACTTACTCAGCTTATCTTTGTAAAATTTTCTGTTTCTGTTTGTCGTTTATTTACATTCATAATCAGAATCAGAATAATTTTTATTGCCATGTGAGTAACAGGAAGTCACAAACAGGACATAGCTTTGGCTCTGGGTACAAATAAGTTATAAAGTAAATATAGAACAAGGCCTAAAATAAAAATCTGTATAACGTTTCTTAGAATTATTACAATGCACTGTCTATGTGAACACAACATCAATATTCTTATTATTATTTGAGAATGTTTCAGAAGCCATTCATTTGGATGGGAGTCGTCAAAATGACTGCTGGCTTTAGAACTCTGGTCCTTGAGTTAAAAAGAGAAGTCCTTCACATATTTGGTCCATAAGGGGCAGAGACCAATGTCCATAAATGTTGATAAACATAGAGTGTCCTGGATCATCTCTGTCCTATCCTTCCTGCATCAGAGGAACAACTCTAAACCCAATGGGAGAAAAGTGAGAAACCTCAGAGAGAACCACATTGAAGGCTGTAGATCCAGGACTGAGGCTGTAAATATGGATTAGAACCGTATCAACCATCTCAGAGGTTTTTTAACTCGGCCCAAAATGTATCTGTTCTACAATATCTTCTCTACATTATTTTGTCCAAAGCAGTGATATTTCCTGTGTTTGAACTGAGTGATTCTCTGATCTGTTGATAGTGAACAGACAGCTTTGTAAAGTCCTCAGAGAAAACTACTGTACAACTACGATACAAAAAGACATTGAATTAAATCAACATCACATTGGGATTCAGGAAAACTATGGTTTAAAATTATTTCAAGCAGTGGGTGAAATTCCCAAAATACGTACAATACATATGTCAAAGTCAGGTTTATTTGTATAGCACATTAACAACAGCACCAGTTAAAAGTTCTTCACGATCACAAAAGAAAAAAAGAAACTATATACAATACAAACAAAAAACATACAACTTAAACCAGAAGAACTAAAGATAGAGTTAAAAGAGCCCCAAATGTGTTAAAATGTGTTAAAAACTAGAACTAGTAATAGTAGCAGTAGTAGTAGTAGTAGTAGTAGTAGTAGTTGTAGTAGTGGTAGTACTAGTAGTTGTAGTAGTATAGCAGCAGCAGCAGTAACAGTAGTAGTTGAAGTTTCATAGTAGTAGTAGTAGTAGTAGTAGTAGTTGTAGTAGTAGTAGTTGTAGTAAGTAAGTAAGTAAGTAAGTATTTATTTATATACCGCCATTTCACTGCAGATCTGAGTCTCAAAGCGGTTTACAATTGTTAATTAGTGGTGGTAGTGGTAGTACTAGTAGTTGTAGTAGTATAGTGGTAGCAGCAGCAGCAGTAACAGTAGTAGTTGAAGTTTCATAGTAGTAGTAGTAGTAGTAGTATTTTGTAGTATTGCAAAACTCATACCTGTTAAATTGTTTATATCATAACAGTTTGCTCCAAATTTAAGTTTGTTTCTGAAAATGACTTTTGTTTACTGCATTTATTTTGTACAAATTGAATCCATTGTTCCGTTGTGAGGGTCGACCTTTGCTCAAATACTCTTCATCAAAACTAAAGGTATAGAATGTAATTTGTGGAGACAAAAATATACTAAAACCCATAAAGACCCAACTTTCTCCTGTGTTTTTGAATAAAGAATCTCTGGTATTTTCCACTCGACTCAACGGCCTCCTCCACCACCTCCACCTCCTCCACCTCCTCCACCTCCTCCACCTCCTCCTCATAGACTTCAGCCCCAATAATCCAGTCAAGAAGACTCAGCAATTATAACGGTAGAAAACCCAGAGATTTAAAGTTGTAATTGGGACAAACTACTTAAATATGGTGAAAGAAATCCGCCGACTGAAGCTTAAAGGAGATGTAGTGACAGAAAAATACTACGGCTGGGCATCTCCGACCTGTAGCTAGCTAGCACCCTCTCCAAAGTAGCTACTCAAAGGAACTTGTCGAGGGTAAATTAAAAAAAAAAATCACTCTTTTTGCACTAATAAATGATGATGGATTGGTTTACAACACTACACAACAAAAAATACGAATAAATTGTCAAAATGATCAAATCTTAGAACAAGATTTACCAATGAAACAAGAAATACTGTTGTTATAATTGTGCCTGAAAAAAAGACAAAAGCTAAAGTTGTTTTAAGAAATAATATATCAAGAGCCTTTCTACGTGATCAAATGTAGCCCACTAGTACGGAGCAAATATTTATACAAAGTAGGTTAAACATTGCTCAAATTTGACAAAATGTATCTTAAGCTAATTCTGACTGCCTTAAAACAAGATTTGCCAATGGGACAAAACAAAGGTACAAGAAATTAAAAAGATACCGGTCTCTCTTTGATCTCTCTCTCTGGTCTCTCTCTCTCGCTTGTCTCTCTCTGGTCTCTTTATGGTCCCTCTCTGGTCACTCTGTGGTCTCTCTCTGGTCTCTCTGGTCTCTCTCTGGTCACTCTGTGGTCTCTCTCTGGTCTCTCTGGTCTCTCTCTGGTCTCTCTCTCTCTCTCTTGTCTCTTTGTGGTAGCTTTTGTCCTGTAAAAGTAGCTCTCCAGAGAACAGCTTTGGGGACCCCTGAACTAAGGTATGAGCAAAAGGATTTAATTATAAGTGAAACAAAATGCTCATATCGTTGAACAAAGGTGAGAGGAGTTTCTGCTGTTCCACAAAAGAGGCCATTGTGTGCATCTCAGAATAGTTTTTGTTTAATTTTGTCGTTCCAAAATGGCTTTATGAGGATATATTCCAGCAGTGCTCGAGAACCAGGAAGTCCTCTCACATTAGTCCTGGTCTCAGTCTCCGCCTGTTAAGTCTCTCACTTTAGTACACCTGTGATCATAAGAACCAACTCTGAGGAGCATAGGGACTGGTCTCCTGGTGGTCCCAGAGTCAGGACTCGTTTCAGATTTATGCTGAAATCTGGGAAGTCTTCCTGAAAATTTGAGACAGGCTTCTTCACTGACAACGTTCAAATCCAAAAATGAGTCTTAATCTGAGGACAGGCTTTACATATGGATTCTTGTTTTAAAACAGTCAGAATGTGCTCGGATTAAGATAAAAACACTTGATTCTAGCATTCATTACCTCACGTTTTATTTATCATTGTTGCCATGCACGACTGATGTTTTGTATCGTCACTCTTTTTTAATGTACTTTGAAATGTTTCTCTCTCTCACACACTTTGCGTATCCTTGCGTGTGACCCGTGCCATACAAATAAACATGCATCTCTTCTCACCTGAGTGGGCGTGAGGTGGATCATGCTGGCCAGGTGCTCTCTCTCTGGGGCCGACAGGTACTTCTGCTGTTTGAAGCGCCTCTCCAGCTCGTACACCTGCGCCTGCGAGAACAGTACCCTCCTCTTCCGACGGGGGGCGCTGGACAGGGACCCCATGCCTTTCCCCACGTCGGCCAGGGACCCCAGGCCGCCCATGCCCCCCATGTTCATGCCGGAGGAGGAGCCCATGAAGCGAGAGACTGAGGAGAAGCAGAAGAAGAGCGAGAGAGAGAGAGAGGGAAAGAGTAAGTACACACTGTAAGAAACAAGCACATGTTTTTACCGTACTTTCTGGACTATAAGATGTACCTGATTATAATCCCTCAGCTCAGATTTAAGAAAAAGTAGATTTAGTTATGGCTTAACCGCTAGCTTCCATGACTCATTCAGCTTGTATTTTGACAAAAGTAGTCAAAATAATATGTTGAAAAACTGCAATAAAAATACACACATTAGCATCATTGCTAACGTGTAGCAGCTTATAGTCTGAAGATTACAGTAGTTTGAGGCGCTTCAACAACTTAAGTAATATAATGTGTCGTTGTAATTAGCCTGTAACTTATGCAATATCAGATTTTTAATGTTAGTATATGCAAATGTTTACGCCGTAAAAACAAGGGACGCACAGAACTGCTTCAAAAGTTTGTGAAAAATTGGACATCTGAGAGACAAAATAAACCAGAAAGAAGCTAGCACCAAGTTTTATTTACTTTAGGAAAACTACACCATCGGGTCCAGGGCAAATTGCTTTTTTTCGTGAGATTTAAAGAAGAGGTGAGAGAAACACAGAACCTATAGTGGTTTCTTTGTTTTTGTGAAGGTTGTTTAGAGCTTGTCTTTAGCATCTGCAGAAATTGATTTTGTTTTAACCCCTTTTATATACATTATAAAGGTATTATTATTATGAATACGTTGATATTGGGGTTTTGCTTTTGTGTATCTGGTTTTGTTCGGTTTCAGAAGGCTGAGTTGTGCAGACTGATTCAAGCTGTTACTGAGAAGGGTCCGGGCCATGTAGAAATGTGGAGGCGGCCGCAGGTGGCCCCCAGGCCGCGGTTTTGCCAGGTCTGATCTAGTCCGACAACTGCTATAAACAAAGGATTTTCTAAATAAGTCTAAACCAAGATTGAAAGAGGCTGAGGCTGATGTCAAACCAGAGACTATCGGGTAATATTCAAATATTAGTAATATTAATAATAATAATAATATTACATTTCATTTCTTACATTACAAGTTTAAAGTACATTTCAAAATACAAAGGATCATCATAATCAAACTACATTTCCAATAAGAGAAAGAATCAATAACAATAAGAACATGAAGGACAAACTGGATCATTCTGCAACAGTTTCACACGTTTTAAATCTTTCCATTCCATTTGTTTGCGCATGGCCCTAAAGCACAACAACAGCAGGCGTCTCGGAGGACTTTACAAATTTGTCGATTCACCAACGACAGATCAGAGAATCAGATCGAATACAGGAAACGCAATAATAACAAACGCCAGAGAAAACAGGACGACCACTGTCCAGAAATGTGAATCAAAGTGTTGGATCCTCACTGTCCTTAGACCCTGCATCAGAGAGGAGCCAATGAAAAACTAATCCAATGGAAAAAGTGAGAAACCACGGACCAACACGCTGCCATCAAAAGTGCAACCATTTTGAATCTATGTTTAAATGAAAACTTAAACTAGAGCGCCAAACTTTGAAACCACAAAGAAATACACCGGATTATTGCAGTGTACGCCATCTGCACTGTAAAAAAATATCTCTATTAAATTTTATAATCACCTCCATAACAACAATGCAAAAAAAACACAAAAAAACACACACACATATATATATATATATATATATACAGCTTAGGAGTCTGCTTTTATTTCTAATAGTTTTAGTCTGTTTTGTGCCGTATCCAAGGTTTGAAGATGGAAAAGCTATAGATTTATAGATCATAATAAAAAAAATCAAATATCTTAAATCATTGTGATTCTGGTCCTTCAGCTGAGCACTGTAAAAAATGTAGGTCATTTTACAATATTGTTCTTTATCACAGAATTCTCCCATGAGGCCTGGACAATATTGTTTAGACAAAGTGATTCATTTAACATTTTAAGTCTATGGAAAAAAAAATAAAAACTTAAATTACACATGGAGTATCTATAAACAGGCGATTTATTTAAAGATCTAATTTTCTTATCTCAAGCAACTTCAGTGTTTTCATGTGTTTATAATAAAGCAGAAAAGACCAGTTGTCATCAGTGTGTAATTATTATTACAATAAACGTCTTTATTACGCTAAAGTTAGAGATTTGATTCATCCTTTTCATTAACGCGATTTTCATACGAATCAATTGGATTTCAGGATTCGGACATGTTGAGGGCCGACTGAATTGCTAATCGCCATGGCAACTGTCCGAATTTCTCCTTGTTCTGAAACCCCTGCACACCTTGAAGAAATACACAATGATCCAAATGTGTTTCTCAGAGATGTTTTAGTAAACATACAGTTTGTATTATTGTGTGTTTTTGTCAATGGGGCTTCAGAACAAGACCATTTATTTTTAAAAAAGGTCCAATTTTTTTTACTATACATTTTATTTCACACATCAAGGAGTTTCTACTCAAAAAGGAAAATGTATAATCAATGTCTAAATTCTTAATACAGTGAATCCTGCTTAAATATTAACAATCAAAATCTACATAATATAATATATACATATACAGGCATACATATAAAAATATAAAAAGTTGCAATAACTTCAAAGAAGCAGTTTGTTGGAATCACAAATATCAATGCGCAAAATGTTTCTCATTAATTTTGTAAAGACGTTTTTTTAGAATGTTTTAATCATTTGTGATACAAGTAAAACGGGGAAACGTCCCGTTTCAGCAAGCGAACTTTTTTGCAGTGAATTTATAATCGCCAATAACCGCCATGAAAACTACTTATATTCAACAATAAGACAGAGTCATTTGCTAAAGTGATGCTTAAGACATTTCTCACTGAGATTAAAAGAGATTAATTTAAACACAAAATACATCTATTACGCTATCTTTGTCTTTACGCAAATGGCGTAAAAAGTTCCACATTTAAAATCTAACATGATTTTTTAATTTCTTTATCTCTAAATACATCGAAATATTATTAACATTATATTTCAGGCCTCTTTAAATCCTGTATTTTTCTAGTCAATTCAATACAATTAATTTTGTATCCGTAACAGTATATTATCCCAGAGGTTACAAAGTTGTCGATTCACCAACACAGATCAGAGAACATTCCAAACACAGGAAATCCAACGATAAATGGACATTAACTTAATTTAATAACTGTGTAGTTAATAACAAGAGAATAGCTTTAGTTTCAGACATACAGATTAAAGCCTGACTTTACCACAGGCCTTTCCTTTTACACGCGCGCATTTCTTTGCCTGCATTCAATTCAGAAAAACCCATCCCTCTCATGCTCCTTGTTCCCTTTTCCCTCATATTTTTTAACTTAGCTTGAGTCGATTCGTATATGTGACGTTAAAAGTCTATACAGTGCAGATGGATCTTAATCCTATAGCTCTAAAACAATGAAGGACATTTGGGAGAGACTGTCCATGGGTTTATTACGCATTTATTCTGTCAGTGTGTGTGATTATAAGACAGCGAAATACAAAGATTTGGTTTAGGATGTGAGAAATTCTGGATAAAAAACATTGTGATTATAAGCATTGAGCATGTTTTTAATATAAAAAGTCTAAAGTTCTTTTATGGTAAATCCCTTTAAAAGAGAAATAAGCGTCATCACACCTCGAACGCGCAGTGGTTTTGATGTTTCTCTCTCGTGATTGAATAAAGTTTTGCAGTGTCTGACTATGAAAAACATATTCAATTTACTTCTAATACATTTTCAGGATTCAAACGACGCGTGGAATTGCATCATCCAATCATCCCACACTGTAAACACATTTGACCGCAGCCTATGTTTTTGCACTGCCATTTATAAAGGGTAGAATTTCACTTATGGAGAAAAAATAGAGCTTCCCTGTCGACTGCAAATAACGAAGAAAGATGAGAGAGAAGTTTTGTCAGTTTGCCTGAATCCATCCACCTTAGTCCTCGTTCTACAGCCGTGGCAGCGGATCAGTGTGGGCCCGAGGTTTATAAAAAATGTTAACACTGTTGTTTTCCCCCTTTCCAACGCAGGAGGGTCCAAGGACAGTGATGATCCAGGGCATTCATATTCATGGGAATTGGTCAACCCTCAATATCCTATAAACTCATGCTACTCTACTTTACTGCACTGCTGTTATGTTCCTATATTGAGTGACGGTACACTTGTATACAATTTATAGAAAGATTTTTTTTAATGCCCTTTCCATCTTGAGCCAGCTAAATTCCTAGTTTGTGACTTCCTGTTGTTTTCAAAGGCACAACAAAATCTCATTCTGATCTAGACCAATGCCTCCTAAATATGTTTGTTATTATTGACAACTTTGTAAAGTCCACCTCCACTGTTGTGATTTAGAGCCTTACAAATACATTCAAATACATTGATATCTGCTATATGTCATTGAAACTGAGAGAAATGTTTCTGAAATCCAGGATGTTTGTAATGAACTCACTTGTGGAGAAGCGTGGGTCCGGGTTGGTTCCGTACCAGCCCGTAGCCGCGGCGCTGCCTCTCATCCCGTCCTGGTACGGCGGCGGCAGCTCGCTCATGTTTCCCAAGTTCCCATTGCAATAGCCTCCCATGGCGGAGTGCGACAGCTGCGACACCCCGGCCGCGGTCATGTGGTAGGACACGGTTCCGTTGTGCCCCATGTGCTGGTGCTGCATGGCCTGGGACCCCTGCTGCTGGCGGTACGTGGCGAGCGAAGCCCCCAGGTTTCCGTTGTCCATACTTACTTTCTTATAGCTTTCTTCGAGTGGACTCAAAATATCGGAAACAGAAAAAGGAGTCGTATGTTTAGGGCTCATCGACATTGTTCGTGTAACAGGATGGAGAGGGAGAAATTAAGCAAGGCAATCTCTCCAAACTGCTTTTTTTTCTCTTGCTTGTCTCTCGTTTTTTCTTTTTTTTTTAAGCCAAAGCCCCTCTCCTCTCTCCTCTTTGGTTCCTGTTGTCGACCCTGGTAAGATGAAGATATAAGGAGCGCTCGCGTCAAGTCTGGCCTTAATTGGATGGAGTGGGGAGCTTGGTACTGGCTTTGGTTTGTCTTAGCTCGTAGGCGCCAGGTTTAAGGGTAGCGTGAGGGGCGGGGCATCGACAGGCAACAATGAGGCAACAAGAGGAGGGGAGAAAGAAAAAAAGGTCTGCCATGCATGCAGCAAAGCAAGAGAGAGCTACACAGACTCTCCTCCTCCTCTTCGTGCGTAAAAACTAGCTTTCAATCAATACGCACGGGTTGGATCCTCCCACAGTATAAATATATGTGCGGTGCGTAATGATCCGTGCGTAAAATGGGTTTCCGTAAATTGGCTCTGGATTCAAGATTTCTCAATTCGCTTCAATAGATGTTGACTGTAGTGTACTTTAGACCTAGCTACTATTTCAATCACTCCGCGTCTGTCGGTGCGTGTAGTTCTGTGTTCCTAATGCGTCTCTCTTTGATTTTAGTTCAGAATTTTAAGTTTGCTACAGCTTTGCGGGTGAACCTGTTTATTTCAACGACACTTTGACTGTTTTGAACCTGGCAGAACACAGATGAGCTAAAATTGACATAGACTTTAAAAACGTAAAGATAAAATTATCCAATGGAAAGAGAGAAGAGAGATTTTGAAGACATGTTGTTTGGATAAAAACACAAGATTCCAAAGAAGAGTTCCTTTATTCATCCCATAAAGGGCAAATGTCATGTAATAATAATAATGCATAAGTAATACACATGTTTAAAACTGTGGAACAAATGAAATGGGGAAAAAGATTTTTATTTTAACTGATGAGGAATTGAATCAGAAACTCACTGCCGCTCTTTCCTGTATTGACAGCGGGGACAATAATGTGTCTTATTTTCATAATGTAGAACCATAACAAAACATGTACGTCAAGATACATTTATATGTAGCGTAGAAACACAAGGAAACTCAAAATGCTTCTCAAAACAAGAAAATAAACGTTAAATAAAATAATAAAACAAAGCACGCAAATAATGTATCTTTAAAACTGTGGAAAAAATTCAATGAGGAATGAGAAGCACAGGAGATTTTTGTTGTATTTTAAATCTGAAATTCCCCACGTGAAAAAATAATGAAGGAATTGATTCATAAATAATTTAACTGCACTACATGCTCTATCCTTTACTTGCACGTATATGTCCTGAGCAACGGGGACAATACAGTCTTTACCAAACATTGTTGCCTAAAACAATAACAAAACAACAAGCACGTGATTTGAGAAGACACATTTATTAATCCAGCACATTTCTTACGCAAAGCAAAACTAAAAAAAACATTACGTAAATAATCACAGTACATTGAGAAGAGTAAAGATCAAATCCTTCAGTTGTAGAACATATAAATAAACAGTTTTTACCTGGATTTGAACATTGTCAGAGAAGAAGCCATGTCTCACATTTTCAGGAATCTATAGTTGTTTGTAATTTTATACTATTCGTCGTAATTCAAGGTATGACGTCAGAATTATATGAATGTAATGAATGCAGCAAATTGTGATTAGGGACATTTATAAACATTTATATCATCCCGCTCCATATATGTGTATGTATTATTATTTTTCTCTGATCTGCTGTTTGCTCCCTTCCAAGACGACTGCTGCTGTGATTTAGGGCTATACAAAATATACTTTTAATTTAATAAATAAATCCGCCTTAAAATTATGCCCTATTGAAAAAACAAACATATTTTCCAAACCAGTGGAATAAGTGCGTATAATCAAACAGTTCCAAGTCGAAATACATAACACAAAATCTGAAATAAAACCCTGATATAAATTATGACCTGGATTGGCAGACTCTTGCTAATTCCAATCAAGACTAAAACATGCGTAAATCAACTGTATTTTAAACCATAATGCAACATATATAAATAGTTAAAAAAAAATACACTCATGTCTAAAACCCCGGAGTATTTTATAAGCCTGGACTTTTTCCAGTGACATTTCTGATCAGCTCAAAAGCAGAATAATACGTCATTATAATATTGTATTTTAATTGCAACGTGTAAAGTCAGAATGATGTTTAAAACCATCGGGTGATAGTCGTGTATAAAACTGGACTGGTAGACATTTTCACTTCCCTATACCAATCAAATCTCAAAAATGTGTTATCCAACTACATTTTCTGCCAGCTTAGATAAAACTATTGTTTCTAGAATGATACCCCAACGTCTCAAAACGTCCGGCAGAAGTCGTGTATAACTGGATTGGCAGATATTTTCACTTGCTTATTCCAATTAGATCTCAAAAATATGTTATCCAACTACAATGTAAACCAGCGACATTGATACTATTCTTTCTAATGCAACATATAAAGTCAGAATGATGCTCCAACGTATCAAATCCTCGTCGTGCGTAAGCCTCATGCGGGTCTCTCCGTTTTTGCAGTGCACCTCCGCGCGTCCACAATGCACTTTATTAACTGTAGTATGTTTACGAGGGCCTCTTGATAAAAGAAGGGCCTATATGGACTTGAGAGTTGGAGAAGCCGCACTCCTCCTCCGCTGAACCAGTGACTTTTAATGGCCACGAGAGGCCTCCAGTGATTGCAGGATTGTTTGTGTTTGTGCCCTATCCTCAGACATGCAAAAGTGCACTTGCGGTGAGGGGGAATTGACTCAGCCCGTTAAGTAAATAAATACACATCGCGTGCGTAAAGTGGCGAAAATCATTCATTAAGCCGCGCGCCTGGAGCTCAGTCACCTTTTTATATGCGTTTGTTACAGTGGGGGTAATACGGCCCGCAGAGAGGAGAGAGAGAGGCAGAGAGAGAGAGAGAGAGAGAGACAGACAGAGAGAGAGGCAGAGAGAGAGACAGACAGAGAGACAGAGAGAGGAAAACCTGAGCGATTGGACTGACACCACGCGTTGCCTGGGATGAAACCACACGTAAACACGACAATGGGGTTTCAGAAATAATGTGCAAGGAACGTTTATTTGTATAGCACAGTTCACACACAAGAGTAAAACAAGAGTAAAATCCCACCAGGAATTAAAGTTATACATAATCACAGTATAGAGTGAAAATATAGTGCCTCAGTTGTAGCACAGACAAACAGAACTGTTTTAACCTAGATTTGAAAATTGTCAGAGAAGAAGCCTGTCTCATGTAATCAGGAAGACTGTTCCAGATATTAGCTGCATACATCTGAAACGCTGCCTCCTGTGTGTGTGTGCTCCAGTTGGTTCATATGGGACTAACATGTCACAGATTATAATATGCTGAGGATTTGGACTATAGTCACTCTCATAACAGTATGTTGCTCAGCCAATCAGCTCCCAACCCACTCAAATGCTGACTCTCAGGGTTCTTTTGTAAAAGATAAAACATGTTTTCTGATGGGAGAGAAGTGAGTCCCACGTGTGAGGCAAGAGAAAGCACCCCTTGTCTTTGTTGATGGTCAGTCGGATGGATCTGACAAAGCAGGTGCTGCGCAGCGTTTAGATGACGCCTGAAAACAATACAGTTCAAGCGCCCTGCCAGTAGTGGGCAGAGGAACTTTACAACACAACACATGTGACCCCCAGCCCCCCCAGCAATATTCACTTCCTCATCAACATCCTCCTCAGGCCACTGCAAAGACCTGGAAGAATAACCAACATCAACAGCAGCTACGAGAGTTACAGCTGAAACTATAGCGTTGTGTGGTTTTCATTTGGACAAACGAAGGAGTAGAATTCTCCTCCGTGTAGCGCTTGAAGCACACATGGGCTTGTTGTTGTTTATGTTTGTTCTCGGCTACTGCACATGTCCAATTGTATGTGCGGGGAAGTGGGGGTCATAGCAGGCAGAGAGTTCACACCTTTTTCTTCAGGCGTCTGTGAAACAGAGTATCTGTTCTGTTCCACTCTGGAGGCTGGTTCTGAACGCTTGTGTTTTCACCTGAAACACCGTCTTCATGTAAACGTGAGGCCAACCCAATACCCAACTCTATTGTTATGTTGCCGCAGCGCCTCAGTATAAACTGGGCCAAAGACAAAAAATGTCAGATAAGCGGCTTCTTTATCTTTGAGGTGGTGCTTTGACGTTGGAAAAATGACATGAGGTGCAGACAATCAACTCTAGAGAACTGGACAGGAAGTAAAAGTTAAACAAAAACCACATAACTAAAAGTAAAATAACCAAAAATAAACACCATGACACATTTGCTCAAGGACACGCTCAAAAGACTGTTCCTCGTCATACATCTGCTGCACTCATTACCTTAAATATGCACAGACATGTGACATCATTCAGCACTAGTGACACCTAGTGGCTGGAGGTACGCTTTGGCCTCTACAGCTTTTGGTCCAACTCAAAGAGGAGGATTTAAAGCGCTCACTGTTGTGCAAAATCGCTGAACAGATAATACTTTGTATTAACTGCTCTGATGATCTGGAAACCTGGAGTATTCCAACATAAAAGACGCCAACAGGAGCCTCTGTGAGAACAATGGAACTAACCGTGTGTCACTGTGAACTAAATAATTAGGGTTTGATTCTGGATCGAGGACATAAGGCTCTATGTGACGAGTTGCCATTGTTGGAAAAAGTTTAATCTCAGGTCTGAAATGACTTTAACAGGAAAGGCTGAACAGCTTTTGCTGATGTCTTTACCTAGAACTTAGCAAGATGCTACATCACCGCGGGGGAGGCGGGTTCACAGGCAGAGAAGCACAGGTCCAAGTGTTTCACAAGAGGAGACATTACCTCTCTGCACAAAATGGCTATAATAATAACAACAATA